CTCTTTCCTGCCTATGCAGGGGGTCGGACTCGATGATCTATTGAGGTCCCTTCCGACCCTAACATCTATGAATCTATGAACCATGATAAACGACAAGTGGGAAGGGGCGGGGTGCGTCTGGTCAATGAGCAAACCCAGAAATGCCAGTGGCACATGGCGGCGGAAGTGCCGGCAGTGAACCCACTGTTTCTCCGCGTCCCACCTAGACAGCCTTCACGAAACACTGATCTATGCTAATGATTTTGAAACAGGGGACCTTGGAGTGGTGCGAGATTTTTAAGTGCCAATCAGTGTTAGTACCATTAAGTATGTGAACACTTCCACACAATTCACAAGATAAACCCAGAGATGTCAAACAAGAACCTACAGTGTCAGAAACATTCTGACTTATTGCAACCTTTTTGAATTCTCTGTGACAAAAGAACAGCTTTATTATTTTTTCTGTAGTCAAAAAATGAGCAAAAGCTCAAAGCTGGCACTTTTCAAAGGGTGCCTTGAGCTTAATGAGGTTCAGAACCACTGGTTTGGACGCATGTACAGTCTAAGTTACATGCAGCAGATTTATTTGACAACCATGAACTTGGCTGATAGGGCCAGTGGTCTTCATGATAGCAGTAGAAGCCTGTGTGTGCTGGCAGAGGGGAAGGTTCTGTTGCCACCAGAGAGCTTGGAGTGCAGAGGCAAAACTGTACTGGGCCACAGAGCCTGTAGCACAGATAAGGGGCTGGGCGGTAAACCACAAGTAGCTGTGTGATTAACTGCTACTGTAATGGGACTACCCCCAGATACTGAGGAAGCAGGTCTGAGCATAACATTTAAATTGAGCATACCTGTTTCATTGCAAGCAGTCCATTTAATATGGAAATCAACAGGATTTGACTAAGAACTGGTGACATCTGTTCAATTTAAAAGACTGTCCAGCTTACCAGTGGACATCTTAAGTGGCCTACCCTAAAATGGCAGCACAATAGAGGGATGTGGATAACCTGGAGAGGGTCCAGAGAAGGGCCACTCGTATGGTTAAGGCTTGCAGGCCAAGCCCTACAAGGAGAGACTAGGGCACCTGGACCTCTTCAGCCTCCGCAAGAGAAGGTTGAGAGGCGACCTTGTGGCTGCCTATAAATTCATCATGGGGACGCAGAAGGGAATTGGTGAGGCTCTACTCACCAAGGCGCCCCTGGGGGTCACAAGAAATAATGGCCACAAGCTAGCAGAGAGCAGATTTAGACTGGACATTAGGAGGAACTTCTTCACAGTTAGAGTGGCCAAAATCTGGAATGGGCTCCCAAGGGAAGTGGTGCTCTCCCCTACCCTGGGGGTCTTCAAGAGGTTAGATGGGCATTTGGCTGGGGTCATCTGAACCCAGCACTCTTTCCTGCCTATGCAGGTGGTCGGACTTGATGATCTATTGAGGTCCCTTCCAACCCTAACATCTATGAATTTTTAAAATTAACTCACTTGCTGTGGGCACCAGTTAACAGCAAAGTCTCAAGGATGAACTTGAAAGAGGAGATTGCATTGGCTTGGCCGGCCAGAACTGAGGCGGCAAGCCAGGAGGAAGGCTTCAAAGAAGCCTGGAGATTAACTACATAAGATGTCAAGGCTGGCATCACTACCAAAATAGAGGGAGGAACAGCAGAGGTGATAAAAAGTTAAGACAAGTAAGCATGAGCCTTGAAGGAGAGAACAGATATAAAGACTTGTGGGGTGTGGAACAGAAGGCCAAGAGGCCATGATTAGATTAGGAGGCAAAAGATAACATTCTTAGCAGTTCTATTTTGGATGGAATTGGTTGTGAAGGCAGGTAATCTGATGCGGCATAAAGTGATTAGCCATTTGGATAGAAAGAAAGTACCAAATCTGAGGTCTCATGGAGTTGAAAGCAGCAGGATTTGAAAACTGTCTGCCCATGAAAGTACTAAAAGGGAGACATAAGAAGTGAACCCTAACAATTTTGTCAACAGTGAAAGAATAGGAAAGCAGAGAAGACTTAGGAAAGAAAAAGAGAGGAACCAGGTTTTAGCCACGGTGAGTTTGGACAGTCTGAAACATTCAAGATCAAGAAAGACTGAAACAGAACTGGACTAACAGAAGTCAGGAATAGAAAGAAAGTCTGATGAATGGTAGCAAGATGGCAGCTGAAATCATGTAAGCAAATAAAAGCTGCCCAAACAGATTATATAGAGGGAGGAGTCAGTTGTGGATGGAATTCTTTACGACAGGGGAGGATAGTGACCCAAAAGGAGATACTAAAAGGAGCTGTTGGAAAATGTTACCACAAAAGCCTATGGAGGATACAAGGTTAAGGAGGAAGTATACCATAGTAGAAAGGCCAAGGAAGAGCAGGATGGACTATAAACTGTAACGCTGCTAATCAGACATAAAAGTTACTGTGCGACAGGGACTGAGGGAAAAGTAGGATGGTAAAGCACTGGCCTTTCCCTTTGAAAGGCATGGCTTGTTCTACATCTTACCATCTCATACTTGTAGGTAGTCCTCTGGAACATACTCTTGGTTCTCTGGATGTACAGCAGGATATTGGCAAAGACACGGATGGCATCCTGGTAACGCCGCATCATAAGATATGCAAAGCCCACATAGTAGTAGGTGGTGACCTGGCATTCAGGCACCCGGGAGTACATACTCTGGGGAGATAAAACATACTAAATCAGAAAAGAACTGCCACCTCCCACTATCTCCAGCCCATGCTAATCTAGTCCTACCTACAGAAAGGAGAGGGGTGCCCCGACACCCACCCCATGCAGCAGAAGCAGGAAAGCTATTGTGTAAAAGACTGGACAACCTAGTAACAATCTTCCACTTCTGTCTCCCGGACAGCAGAAGATAATATCCGGCACTTTACTCATCACTGTTCGGTCCAGTCCATTGTTTGGTAGTTCTCTTCCCCAGAGAAATCATGTCACATCTCACTTTTGGGAGTTTTCCTCAAAATGTCTCTTAATTTCATGCAATGAATTCTACCAGGGCACACAGGTACAACCAAACACATCCAATACCTGCACCTCAGTAACAGGGCTCCATATAGTCTCTTGGGCTCAGGATATAGTGTCATGTGCTGCAGGATGTTTCAATGATCTGTGTACAGTTCCCCCACAGTAAGTTTTTTAAGTAGCCCATTTCTCACATCGTGCCATAAGTATGCAGAAGGATACCAAGCACAGTTCCAGAGCAGCCCAGGGATGACCCTGGGGTGGCATCAGCCACAACTAGATATAATGCTAGAGTAAGCATGAGATGGGTAAGCATAGTACTGGGGCTGTATGTGTGACTAGAACCATAAGGGTTAAGAATAAGGAAAGAAGCAGCTAATAAAAGATGAGACCAGGATGCCATATTATTGAGAAGAGCCAGTACCCAGCCCAGTTTGCACTGCACCTCAGCTTATACTTCAAACACATACCACAGGTTTCTTGGGGTGCAGTGGAAATTACCGCCCCCCCACCAAGGTACTAGATATACCTTCTAGAATAGCAGCCACCATTCAGACTCACCTTTATTTACAAGTGGGGCCCACCCCAAATACTGCATTCTGTTCTGAATTCTACCCTATGTGGGAATGGAAAAATAGGCATCTTCTCCAGACACTTCAAGCAGCAATGAACGATTTTCTAGGTGGGAAGGTTTGTCATGACAGAAGATACCCTTCTCCCCTTTAAGATACCATATTACCCTAATAATTAAAGGCACTTTAAGCCCAGAAGGAAAGACTTAAAGATGCATGTCTTGTTACCTTCTTGTTGAGCTCAATGTTCTCCAGAACCTTGATGGCTTGATAGTAATCCCCCAACAGGGAGTGAAGGCGCAGCAGGCCCACAAGACTAAAGTAGCCTAGCATCTTATAGAGAGAATGACGACCATACTCTCCAGCCACACTCTCAGGATCACCTAGAAATAAAGAAGCATGATGCTTTCCAGAAGCAGAAAGAGGTCTCAATTCTTCTCTCAGCCAGCTGTGTGATAGGAGGAGTGGGGGCGAGAAGGGAAGGCAGCAGGTCTAAGTTTCAGTGTTCCACCAAGTTTTTATGCTACTTCCCAATTAGCCACCTCATGGGTTTAATGCAACTCTCACCAAAACCACCGGGAGCTCAAAGGCTGCAAAGTAGGGATATATCCAAACCATTAAGAACAGCCTTGCAGTTGTATCTGTGTAAGAAAGATGCCCCACCACAAATGTGCTTTCCTTCTTTACTTGGGGCAGACACCTCAGCTTGGGGAGCCCAGATACCATCTACTCAGAACCTGCTTTCATGTATCATTGTAATACAAGTTTGATGCAGACAAGTGAGTAATGGACAATGCTGGAGTTTGAAGCCCTGTCATTTCAGCACAAACAGGAGCACACCCTGAGTTATCACTTATGTTTGGGCAGAAGGCAAGGCAGGGTGGCACCTTACAGAGTAACTGGTTCAGGAAGGCATGAGCTTTCATAGGCAACAATAAGGTAGGTAGTTGCTTATGAAAGCTCACACCTCCCTGAACTAGCTAGACTCTAGGGTGCCTCACCCGGTCTTCTGCCTGAAACGCAGCTAACCATCTGTCACGTTTGGATGAAGCTGGAGTTGTATCCCTTGCTCATTTGAATTCTGTGAGTGATTTGGGGTTTTTTTGGGGAACAGGACTGAGCCCTCAGCTCATTTCACAAAACAGCCCTCAGATGGTTACAGTTTCTAGTGACTTCCAGGCCAATCTGGAACCAGTAACTTCAAGGGAGACTTTGTATTCCGTTCCCAACTCTCTATCCAAGAGACAGCTCCATCTGGCCCAGATGGAAGAGCTGGAACCCCACCCTTGTTTTACCTCCACTGGTGTAGACCTCTAGCTGTCGGTTGATGTTGGACTTGTCTACCAAGGAGTGCAGCACATTGAGGACACTGTGGACATTCCAGATCTTAGGGTTTGAACGAAGGAAATCAATTTCCTCTTCCGACTTCTTGGCTGTTTTGCAGCGGTACTGGCTGAATGACTGAAACTATGAGGAAGAGAGAAGGGACAGACCACTGGTTAAGAAACTATGGTTACCACCAGAGGCAACATTATCTGAACTATCTGCCTTTTTGCCTTGCCAGTAACACAAGCATAGAGGAGACATCCAGAACACAGAACCATCAATGGGTAAACAAGAGACAAATGGACAGGAGTGTGCAATGTAATGCAATGGCAAGAAAGTGACAAATGTGAAGCGCACACAGAGGCATTATACAATATTCCCCCTTCATGAGTCTGGCAAGTTTGAACCTGCGATACTGCCCTCTGTTCCAGCCACTTTCATAATAAATCAAATGCAAGGACAAAAGAGAGGGAGAAAGGGAGGGAGTTGTTTAACATCTGGAAACCACACTGAATATATAGGTTGAAACAGAGAAGGCAGGAGTATCAGGAAAACATTTAATTGCAACACAGTCTCGCCCCAAATTATTTCTATTGTTCTATATGTTTTTACCAGATTATTCTAAACAAGGAACGGAGAAGCCTCTTGGACTGAGAAATTTAAAGCTGGGGAAAAAAAACAACACTACAGGAAACAACGCTCACTGGCCAGTCAGAGAGGACGGACATCTTTACAGCAGCCATGCACCTTCATACAACTTAGATGTGTGTAGGGGTGCACTCTAAAGAAAAGTGCTATCATGCAGGAACTACAAATGGAGAGGTGGGTTAAATGCCTGCATTCCCCAAATAACTCCCAATAACTTGTGGAAGTTCTTCTGATTTCCTAAAAATTCTTTGCTTTTGATGACCACAACTCACGGTATTTACTTCTGGGTTGTTGCGCAGGTCATGACCTCAATACAGGTAACAAATGGAACAGAAATGAGCAGCGCTGTCAGTGGCAGCGTTGCCAACTCTCATGATTTTTGGTGGTGTTCTTAAAGTCTATACATCGGGAATACTACGGTGGGGGAATGATGAGAGACTGACTAGTCTTAAACAAAAATGGCACCAAAAGCCCCAGACAACAGGCCATATACCTGGTAGATGAATTCATCAATGATATCCCAGAGCCACTGGTTGGGCAGTTCCAAGGGAGCAGGGCCATCAGCATCTATAGAACACAAGTTCATCATCCAATAAGCAAAACAGGCAGGGGGAAGAATGACAGTGACATCAGTCTAACCTTTCCCTTCAAGGTAGAACAGCACTCTCTAGTTCAGTCAAGTTCCCAGCAAGGGATGTAATACCTTTGACCCTATTAATTGCTCCCACTTCAAGGTTAAAACATTAGTGAAGGCCTCACGACTTCACAGAAAACCAACCTCGGTTACTATATACTCTACAACAAATGTTTCTCAGACCCCTACCACGTTATATATATTACGCAATTAACTTGTTAATCATGCAATAAATTTAGGCTGGTTATGTGTGCAAAGCAATTACGCCATAAAAATGGTCGTCCGGCTAGGAGCCAGAGCACTACAAAAGTTAGTGCTTGAAAATATGTCAGAGCTTTATAGCTGGTTTCTATCCAGCTTTCATTTGAATGTGTGGCACGGCCCACAGTTGCAGGGTTGAGATTGCCTGCCTTTTGTGCCTCCTCAGGCAATCAGAAGGCTATGAGGCGCTGAAGTTTTCTTTATACTATAAATTAAATGATGGCTTCTTGGTACTGAAGAATTAATTCTTGTAAAGAACAAATTTTGAAGACTCCATCTTTGGGGAAAAAGAGGGGTTACCAACCTGGAAAGATGAAGAAACACTGTACTGCGTTTCTCCCTGTTTATTTATAGCATCATTTTTTTTTAAATTTTTTATTTATTTATTTATTTTTTTAAATGAAGGTAAGGGAAAAGCCACTCCTATTATCAACTTAGCTACCAGCTGGAGAGCTAAAGGAAGCTGTTCCTTCCCTTTTGCTCAGAGCAATGCTAAAGGCCT